TCCAAAATAAAATTGGCTTTATTAGTGCCATGCCTAAAAGAACCTTTTCTATAGGTGTTAAATTAACCTATACTTTCTTCTGATAAGTTTTATTATTTTATTGTTGTCCTTTTTTTCACTATTTTATTGCTGTCCATAAAAATCCAAAAATAATGTAAGAATTTGTAAATATGCATGCGTGTATTTATAGGATTATATACATGTGTATGTATATGTACATACAAATATATTAGACAGCATCATATTTAAAACATTACCTTTATCTTATTCTAACTTACATTATTTATATTTTTTCCTAGACTCAAGTTTCTATTTTAAAATTTTCTCTAATCAATTTTCTAGATCCCATTGATCTCTCCATTCCTTTAGTAAACTATTTTAATTGAAGAAGCTTTAAAATATACTTTAATCTCATAAATCTCAACTTACTTGATCACTATTATTTTTTCTAGTAAGTCTCAAAGGCTTATCTCTCCAGATGAACTTTAGCAGTTTCTTAAATTCCTCCCTTGACTCTATCAAAGAAAAGCACTAAGTTAATTAAAATTATGCTAAATTTGCAGATTAATTTTACTAGGAATTTGCCATCAAATCTAAACAGCACTGATCAACAAACTGTAGGCTTTCAGATGATAGGTTTTCAGCAATACTGTCCTGAAAAAGCATTTTTCTCTACCCGTGGTAGGAGCAGCTGAGCTGGAAACTGTAACTCAAAGAATGCTATGTTCCAAGGCTCTCTCTTTGTGACAATGCACCCACCTGCTCCCTTTTCTGCATACCTTTAGTGATGCAGAAGAACAATACTGTTTATTTATTTCCTTATTTATTACATTTTATTCTTTATTCTGAGAAACTTGAGGGTTTCTATATAGGAAAGGAGGTACAATGTGATGAACCTAATTCTGCAGTATGTAATCATTAACTAAATAGTATGTATATATGCACATATGTGCGTACATATGTGTATATGTGTACACATATGTGTGTATCACTGGTCTTTTCCTTAGAGCAAGAGATAGTCCTCTCTAGGATCTGAACTGCAGCACCAAAGTTTATACACAGAGTTTAAAAATGTGATTTCTGAAGTGATCTCAGTGATCTCTGATACAGAAAGCTAAAAATCACAGAGAAGAACAAAAGGAACTGAAGAAAACATTGAAAGAAGTCCTGAGGGAATGAACATATTTATCAGTTTTCTCATCTTGCCTGCCCCCAGCCCCCTACACAAAATGCCTACAACTGCTCTTCAGGGAAATGGACACAGAGGTGTTAAACAGTGAAGCAATTTCTATTGATCCTACAGGCCTGAAGGAGAACGTGAGGAGAATTGGCATATTATGTTTATAAAATAATACTCCCAAATGAAACAAATGAAAATTGATTCCCAGGAAAATGCAGATGGCAAGAATACAAATAAATGTTCATGATGAAGATGTCATGACTTTTTGTCTTCCTTCCACTATCTTTGTTTATCTTTTACCAAAATTGCATTTGAGCATACTGTTTTATCAAAAAGCTTGTGCAAACATTTTTATACAAGCCCTTTAACATCTACTGGTTTCCCCAAAACTTTGATGTCCTGAAAAATCTAATTATTACTGGTAACTTTAAAAGATCACAGTAATTTATTTTTGTCAAATGTGACTAAAGATTAATGGATACAATCAGGAATAATTTGGTAAAAACATATCAAATGCAAAGAAAGCAAAATTTGTTGTTAAGTGAAGCATCAAATATAATAAAAGCAAATTCCATGAATGAACAGCAACAATGCACAATTCATTAACCAAATGCCCATGATTATTTCACACTTCAGAGAGCTACTGATATGATCAGAAATTGTACTAAAAGGATAAATACAGATTAACTTCAGCATCTCCATACATTTTAATTATAAGTGCTACCCCTGGGGGCTACCAGCATAATAAGATTCAAACCAAGGTCTTTCCATCCCTTTTATAAATCATAATTCGCATACATATGACAAAAAGACAGCTATCAATGACAAGAGATATTACTAGCACATCACTTTCTTAGCTGTTTCTAACTATGAAAATTAAAAATATGATCAATATTCTGACTTTGGAAACTTATCTCAAAGCCATCATCATCATCATCATCCTCATCATCGTCTTCATCATCATCATCATCATCATCTACGATTATTTACAAAGAATTAGTTCATGTCCTAATCACTAAGTGCATCTCCTACACAGCTCAAAAAAAAAAAGTATTCGTTCAGTAAATATGATAAGCCCCTTGAAAGGAAAGCCACATCTTACTAGTCTTTGCATTCTCAGAGCTGGCTTGGTACCTGACTCAAATGGCATTGTTTCGAATACCCCTCCTCTGCCACTGCCCCCCATACACACAAACACACACACACACACACACACGAGACAACCTAAAGAATCATTTAAAAAGAAAGCATTCTTGGGATAATTTTTTCAGCCATTAAAGGGAAAAGTGGAAGAATAATGCCTATCTATTCCTCATTGCCAAACTAACATTCTTCAGTACTCCAAGGGGGCCAGGAAAGGTTCACCTGGCTTACCAGCCACAGTATGTGTTCCCTTTCTACCTTTCCTCATAACCTCCACTTTACAACATGAGTGCTCTAAACTAAAACATGAGCTAAACACCAACATATGTGTGTGTTATTCCTCTTACACTGTAACTGACTGGATATTTTTATAAGCAGTATTTGTCTATTAAAATTCCACCTGTAGGGGGCTGGAGAGATAGTACAGCAAGTAAGCTACTTTTCTTGCACATGGCCGACCCAAGTTGGACCCCAAGCATCACATATGGTCCCCTGTGCACCACCAGGAGTGACTCCTGAGTGAAAAGCCAGGTGTGGCCCAAAACCCAAAATAATAATAATATAAACAAAATTTTATCTGTGCTGAAACCTTCCCCCCTCTCTACAATGTAAACTTGTATAGCAATTATGGAAAACAGCATGGAAATTCTTCAAAAAATTTAGAATGGAATAACCATATGATCCAAATATCTAACATCTGGGTTTTAAACTGAAGAATATGAAAACACTAAAGTTGTGAACATATGCACTCCTATGTTCACTGCAGCATTATGTTTAATAGCCAAGATATGGTAACAGTGTAAATGCCACTCAAAATATATACATACACAACAGAGTATTATCTAGTTCTTTTTAAAAAATAAAATTCTGGGAATTGCTTTGTCAAACAAATACCATTCATATCTGGGAAAATAAAGCCAGAAATAGAAAAAGAAAGCAAGCTATTAGATTTTAAGAACAAAATGACAGTTATATGGAGAACCACAAAGGGTTAAATTGGGTAACCAGGTCAATTAATTTTACAGTGATGAATGAAAACAAGACTTTTGGTGCTGATCAGAATATAGTATGTTTAGATGCTATCCAGCTGAAAGCTCTGTTATCTGTCATATTATGTTATATTCTGAACCCATGTTAATTTGATATTAAAATTTTAAATAGGCTTGTGCTCTCTCTCTCTCTCTCTCTCTCTCAGTGCTCATGTGACCATATGGGATGCTGGGAATTGAACCCGGGTTGGCCGCGTGCAAGGCAAACGCCCTACCCACTGTGCTATTGCTCCAGCCCCTAGGCTTGCTCTTTAAGCCCATGTTCTCACTTGAACACGTATCTCTCTTGCTTGACTCTGCATTTCTTCGCTTGCTTGTTTCCACTCTGGAGAAGACTGTGTTCACTCTTGAACATATTTCCTCTCTTTCTCTCCTCTCACATCTTTCTAAAACAAGTTTCATTCAATAAAAACTATTTTGCTTCACAGTTTAAAATATATATACATATATACATATATATAAATTCTGCCAGTTATTCCCCCCTCACACACACACCTGTTGTTGAAATGACAGGCGGCATAGTTGTGGCACATTTGGTTGTGGTGCTCACCGGAGTGCTTAGTTTCCCAAAAAAGCAGCGTTGTCACTATTCCCCTTGGCACATGGGGCAGTGCTGGGGATTAATCTTGAGGCCTCATGTTTGCATGGCAGGTGGTTCTACTACTGAGCACAGCACAGCCTATGTTCTAGGACTACTCACAGCCTCCACATTCTACATATGATACATAGAAGTTTTCTTCCTACTGATCATTCCCTGTATACATGACTACCCACACCTTTATACAACTTCCCAAATCCTCAGAAGGCATAAGTTCTCTATTACATAATTCAGTCACATTAAACAAGCACTATAGAACTGTGGATGTACTAAAAAAGCCAACTACATCATCCATCTCATATACAAACTTGCATATATATTAATGTGAATTTAGAAGCAACCAAAAAATAGACTTAGGCTGTGAAATTGACCTACACACACAAACATACATACAAAGAGCTGATAAAGCCAGAGAACCATGAATATACCCAGATTTTCCCAACTCCAAGCTTTACATTGATAGGCACAGGCAAAAGAGACACAAATTATTTTATTAAATGAATCATATGTTATGGCATTAGTATTGATACTAAGAAAAATATCTGCTCTTACCTGTCATATGGCCTGTAAAAACACTTTTCATCATGACTTTCCTAATTCTAATTAATAGAGTGGCTAGATTAATAGAGACAGACCTATATAGCAACTGTGCTTTCCTTGTTCAACCCCAACCCACAGTCTGTATTTCAGAGGAAGAAATTATTTTAAGACATACTGCACCAAAAAAATTATTTCAACACACTAGCTCAATTCAACAAATACCTTATAACATTTGCCTGTAGGTGACACATATATTTTATTTCATATAAAAATGTATTTACTGTGTATTAGAAAAAAAATTTAATTCATTTAAATCTTAAAAAAAAAAAGCAAAGTTGTGCAAGTGAATATCTTTTCAAAATGTGAAGGTGTTTCACAAAGGGTAGAAAATTCAGAAGTGTGACTTTAGCACCACACAGCACAGCCGTGTCTGAGTAGAGGAGAGACAACAAAGCCTAGAAATGTTACAGCTGTCTACATCAAGACTTACCTCTGGTGACAGCATCAAGTGCACATCCACTTCCTGTTGCTCCTCCTCCAATGATTAGGATATCGAATTCGTCTGTGTTCTGCAAAGTCAGAAGCTGAGCTGCTCTGGAAGGAGGCTCCCTGTTAATAGGTTCGGAAACATTCTCCGCAGCTTTCACATAGGCCAGGTTCACCTGATACAAAAGAACAGACCATTTTCAGTCCATCTGGAATGCCACTGTAATAAATTTTACGACCTACTAAGAGAAGAGATTTGTAACCCAGATGAGGAATTCCAGACCTAGATCCTAGTCCACAATCTCCTGCAGAGTTAGAGGACCAACTGCCCTATACATATAATAGGTGATGGGTCTGGAGGTGGGGTGTCTTAAGATTCTGGGTGATTTGTTTTTTGTTCTCCCAGGAATCATGACTTTTTAGCTATGGAACAGCTAGTTTCAGATTCAATATTTCAACAGCTTGTTTTCATTTTATGTGTAGTCAAGTTCAATTATTTCCCACACTATACAACAATTCCCAAATACCTTGTCTAAAACAATTTAAAGGAGAACATACAGAAGCATTTTATCCAGTAGCAGCAATTCATTTAAATAACATTTAAAAGGTTGAAAGGAGGAAAAGGCATTTTATGGCTTTCTAAAATTCTTTAAAAGTACATCCTTTATTCCTTTGTTTTCCTTATAAAAATATATTCTATAAGCTTAACTCCATACTATTGAAAATCTGTTTAGCAAAAGTTATTATCCAGTTTAGGGTGTTTGGAGGATCCTCCCAAGAGGGGAGATGCAGGTTGAAAGTAGACTGGACTGAACATGTTTGCCACTCAATGCCTCTTTTGCTGATCACAACACCCAAAAGGAGAGAGAAAACAAGGAACCGCCCTGCCACAGTGGCAGGGGGGGATGGGGGGAATGGGGAGAATGGGGGGGGGGGGGGGAGGGATATTATCCTTGGTGGTGGAAAATGGGCACTGGTGGAGGGATGGGTATTTGATCATGGTATGACCGAAATCCAAGCACAAAAATTTGTAAGTCGACAACTGTACCTCATGGTGTTTCACTAATAAAAATTTTTAAAAAAAAGTTATTATCCAGTTTAAATAAACAGCAGTGGCCAATGCAAATTATATTTTTAAAAGATTTTAGTGATTTCACAACTGAATGACTAGTTCTGACCCCAACTCTCATTCCCTGGGGGGAAAAAATAACACTGAAGATTGAATATAAATTAAAATTTTTTAAACATTAAATACATACTACTTTGATTTTTAAAAACATTAAGAATATAAAATATGACTACTTGCAGATGACATAATAATATACTGAGAATACTGTGGTGAGTCACAGAAAGGTTCCTAGAAGCAATAAACTGGTGCCAGAGCAATAGTACAGCGGGTAGGGAGTATGCCTCACACACGGCCAATCCAGGATCAATCCCCAGCATTCCATAAGGTCCCCAGAGCCCTGAGAACAGAGTCAGAAGCACTGAGCACCACCCGATGTGGCCCAAAATGAAAACAAGCAAAAATCAATAGACCAATATGGCAAAATGACCTGCTACAAAGTCAATATACAAAAAAGTATGTTGCATTCTTCTTCTTTCCATTTTTTTTTTTTTTTTGGTTTGTTGGTTTGGTTTGGTTTTTGGACCACAACCAACTATAAGCAGGACTTAACTCCTAACTCTGTGATCACTCCTTGCTGGGCTCAAGGGACTATATGGAATGCTGGGATAGCACTCAGGCTAGACAGTAACCCAGTTTTAGCCACATGCAAGGCAAAGCCCCTACCCACTGTACTGTCTCTCCAGACCCTCAGTTGTATTTATTCTTTTATACAAATAACAGAGAAAGTGATCAAAGAGTCTATCCCATTCAAAATAGTGTCGGAAAACATCAAGTATCTAGGAATCAACTTAACAAAAGACCTAAGGGATCTATACCAGGAAAACTTTAAATCACTTTAAAAAGGGATAGAACTCAGGAAAGAAAAAATATTCTGTGCTCATAGATGAGTCATTATTGTCAAAATGACCATCCTATCTAAATTAATATGCAGTTTCAATGTAGCCCCTATTCAAATTCAAACAATATCCTTCAAGGGCTATATTAGAACAGTTAGAATAAGTTCTAATTAGAATACGTTAATAAGTTCTAATTAGAATGCATTCTAATTATCTAATTTTTAGAACTGTTATTAGAACAGTCACTAAGAAAGTCGTATGGAATCACAAAAACCGCAGAACACCCAAAGCCATACTGAAAAATAAGAAACTGGGTGGTAGCTCATTACCTAACAGGACATTTTGCGTGTTGCTCTACAATTACAGATGAGGTTTGTCTTTGGCTGATATCAATAGGCATAGTCCAAAACAGGAGGCAGAATCCCTCCCTCCAAGCAACCTCCAACCTGTGCCATCTAAACGGGCCCACACCACAGCTCCAGAAACTCAAAGCCATAAAACAGATTTACTCAAATTATAGGCTGCTCAGTCATTCCTCCTATTTTTGAAGCTAGGCAGAGAAGACAGTGACCCTAGCATAATTCCTCAGTATCTTCCAGTAGTGTCTAACTACAAAGAAATAACCCCCAGCACAGCAAGAACACTAGAGAAAACAATAGGGAAAATATGCAGAAGCTCCATGAGTGGAAACAGTATCACTGAAGACATAAACATCACCAGTAAATCCTCAGATAATATCTTCAGTGACATTATGATGAGAATGTTCCAAATAGTTCTGAGAAATGGTAACACTGTCAGTCAACAAAACACAATGAGGTATGAGAGTCGAAATAAAAAACCTACTTCAATCAGAAATAAAGAATATGGTAGGTGATATTTTAAAAAGTCATTAGAAGAGATATCCTATATCCTTCTAGCTTACTTAACATACCTTCCAGTTCCATCCATGTTGAAGCAAATTGAATGATTTCATCATTCCTTTCTACTGTGTAGCATTCATATATATATATATATATGTATCACTGTCAGTCACCCCATTGTTCATCGATTTTCTCGAGTGGGCCCAGTAACGTCTCCATTGTGACACTTGTTACTGTTTTTGCCATATTGAATACGTCACGGGTAGCTTGCCAGGCTCTGCTGTGTGGGCACGATGCTCTCGGTAGCTTGCCAGGCTCTCCGAGAGGGGCAGAGGAATCGAACTCGGGTCGGCCATGTTGGCTGCGTGCTATTGCTCCAGTATATATATATATATATATATATATATATATATATATATATATATATCACAACTTCATGATCCACTGATTTGTTACTGCATATCTAGATGTATTCCAGCTCTTAACTGTTGTATTGAGTGCTGCATGAATACAATCTTTTGAATGAATGTTTTTCGGTTTTGGGGTACATATCCAAAAGCAGAACTACTGAGTCTAATGGTAGCTCAATTTTAAATTTACTGAGAACATTCCATACTGTTTTCCATAGGGGTTGAACCAAACAACATTCCTACAGGCAGTGAATGAGAGCTCCTTTTTCACTACATTCTCACCAACACAGATTGTTCTCATTATTTTTGCTATGTGCCATTCTTTTAGAGTAACTGGATGAGGAAATGAAATGGTTTAAAGGGGGGATGCCTAGATCACCCTTGGCCCCAGAGTATAGGAAGGAAAAGGAAAGAAATAGGGTGAAGGAAAAAAGGAGAAGAGATAGATGAGAAGCAATGAGGAAGGGGTCAAGGTGATTCCGGTACATTGGTGGTGTTAAAGAATGATAGAGCTAAATATCCAACTTGAGTATTAGCACAGAGTTAACAACACTGAAATCGCAAGACCTAAACTTTAATACAAATTTAAAAGGGAAAGCCTGGCAAGCTACCCGTGATGCATTTGATATGCCAAACACAGTAACAACAAGTCTCACAATGGAGACGTTACTGGGCCCACTCGAGCAAATTGATGAACAACGGGAGGACAGTGCTACAGTGCTGTCAAGATTATAGGCTGGGGCTGGGGTAAGCGTGTAGGACTGGGAACCTGGAAACACTGCTGGAAGGAGTTGACACTGTTAGCAGGATTGGTGATGGAACACTGTATGTAAAAAACACAATTTTGAGTAATTTTGTCATTTACAGTGCCTTATCAAAATAAAATTTGGGGAGGAAAAGTCAAGAGAAGTTCTGAATAGCAGGATAATGATTCTGAGCAAAAGATCAAGGTGCTGCGAGGTGAGACGCAAGAAGCAGCTAGGAAACAATAGGACGAGGAAAATAGTCTGACGAGAAATGAACTGCATACCATAAAACAAGGATGTATTCAAGAGGAACAACATAAGAATCATCAGAGTCCCTGAAGAACAGGAAGGCAAATGTAATGAAGAGGCAATAGTTAAAATAATCATGGAAAGAATTTCCAGAAACTGGGAGTGACAGTACAGTGGCTAGGGTATTTGCCTTGCATGTGAATGACCCAGGTTGAATCCCTGGGATCCCATACGGTCTCCCTAACACTGCAGAAGTATTTCCTATGTGTACAGCCAGGAAAAACCCCTGAGCATCACTGGGTATAAGCCCTCCCACAAAACACAAAGAAAATTTCTCAGAGTTGAGAAATATAGTCACTGTGGTTCAAGAGGCCTGAAGGATCCCAGTGAAAATATACCCAACTTGGAAAACTCCTAGTTTAATATAAATCACATTTTATATTCAAAATGACAAAAGCCAAAGATGAATCAAAACCTTGAATGCAACAAGATCAAAAGAGGTATTTACATACAAAGGAAAGTCCATAGGATTTACATCAGATCTATCAAATAAGCCAGATAAATATGATTGGATATAGCATAAAAATTCAATAAAAAGAACGCCTCACCAAAAATATTCTATCCAGCTAGATTATTATTCAGATTTTAAGGAACTATACAGAGCTTCATGAACAGGCAAAAAGCTTAAGGATGACAATCATGTTTGGTCTATAGTTTACATTCAGCATGCTTCTCCCATCCTGGGAGGATCCTCCCAACACCTTTATTTGGTGTTCCCTTATCTATCTGAGCTCCCTATTAAAGAAAATAACTATATTATAAATCTATGGTGATCAAAACAGCATGGTACTGGAATGAGAACAAAATCTCTGACCAAGGGGGTATGGTGCTGCCAGCAGGTCAGTCTGTACCTGTGAGGCGAGTGCATCAGCAGCGTCATGGCACC